CCTTCCTGTATAAATATACAATACATAAAAATAATATACAAAAATATTAAGCGTTTTATTTCTGTGTGATGAGAGAGTTGTGGCTTTACTAACTGGTCTTATAAACCTGTGATATATATGATGTGTCTCTTGAATAAATGACGATAATAACAGACACCATGAAAACTGCACCCCTCACCATCACCACAATTATGTAACTATATTTTCAGCCTTCTGGCTGCCATGCTCTTTCAATAAACCGTTAATTATTATTATTATTTATATTTTATCACCACACCCCTCATATCATGTACAGACGAGTCATGTATAATACAAGTAAGTTACATAATATCTTATGCCAGACAACCTTCTCCTTCATGTGATGGATCTCATCTCACAACAAGGCGAATAAAATCAAACAGTTGTCAGCGGAAACTCTGCTTCCCTTATATTTTACTGTGACAGTCAGCTCTGTGAATGATAATCTTGTTGACTGACTGAATATCTGATTCCATAACTGTCTGTCCGGGTCCACACTAGCCAGCCCAACTTAACACAAGTACTGTACTCATTAATTCTTGGTCCCTGTCTTTTATAAGGCAGAGTGACATGATGTTTCGTGAATAAATGACTACATAATTTGAAAATAATCAGATAAATAAATATATCCACAGTAAAATGTGTTTTACGTCAATTATTCATTCGTTAATATTTGATAATATCAGTTTTCATAACTATACAAACATTAAAAATATATCACCTACAGTGATATAATATATATATATATATATATATATATATATATATATATATATATATATATATATATATATATATATATATATATATATATTCATGATGTCTTGAATAAAGACGAAAGCTAAGGTGCTCCATTGTTTCCCTTTTCCCTGTGTGATTTTATCAATATATATATATATATATATATATATATATATATATATATATATATATATATATATATATATATATATATATATATATATATATATATATATATATATATATATTTACACACACACACACACACACAAGTATAGTAAATATTTGTCACATATCCTTCACCTGATACATCTAGTCACATGATCTTCGATATTTTAATTCAGTTCCTGAAGCTTTATCTGTACTTTTTTATATATTTAAAATTTTATATGTTATAGTATTCCATAAAATTATTATTTTCTTTGGAAGATTAATTCTTTCGTTTTCTGTATGTTTAGTTGGGTTAACTCAACAATTCTTTCGAATTCCTGGGTGAAGGTAAAAATGGTGTTAAAATGAGGAAGAACTTTAGCTACCTCTGGAATGACTAATATTGCTCATCATAGAATGGGTGAGTATAACGACCAAAGAAATCCATGAAGTTAATGTAGTCTCCAGTTAGTCAAGAAGCCACAAGTCCAGATAACTATGAGGGCAAATTTTTTCGTAGTGAGAATTGTAAACTCTTGCACCAATCTGCCGGAGAGCATTGTGACGACACCGAGTGTGAGTTCATTCGAGGCAAGATTTGACCAACACTGGAGCAGGTTCCAATATATTCAGTAGCCAGTGCATTCACAGTATCTGCCAACAGTGCGTATCAGAGACGTGACCGACCGCCCAAGTGAGTGACGAGCCGATCAGTGGCGAAGAGAATAAAAGTACAAAAAAGTAAAAAAATATATATGCACAGTACAAAAGTGTACATGTTATTTTACTTTTTTTCTAAGTTTCTTGTTTTATAATTCATCCAAGTTGTATAAATATTCATATGATACAGTGATATATCTGATAGAATATTTAAGTGTCTTAATGATGATATAATATGGACGGGCAAGGGGCGACCTACATAAGGTGTATATACACCTCATATACTGCCAGACTAGGGTCACTAATCCTAAGGAAAAATACTTAACTCTAATCTTAATTTCTAAGGGTCGCTGCCACCAGACCCCCTCTGGACAGTATGTAACTCGTTAGGTAGTGGGCAGAGTGGGCTAGGCATTGGGTTAGGTTTTCATTGACCTGATCGATAAGGGGAAAGAAGGGTGAAACCACAACATGTCTTAGTTCTTTCAAATGTTCCTTCTACTTACTTCAGTTCATTTTTAGAAATACCTAACCTCAGTTCTTTTTTTGGTAGCGTGTCGATGGTCTAGGCACATGGGTAGAGCAATTCTGATATCAGGGTCACTTGGACGGAAATAAAGGTAACTACTGTGGGAGAAATGAATACTCCTAAAATACTCAAAGAACAAGTTTATTAATATAAAATCAAAGGGGAAGAGATATTATTAACATATAACTACCAGGCTCAACTCCTGGGCTTATTGCAGAATCCGTATTTCTTATTTACCTATTTTTCTTATTTACTCAACAAGAAGTACTCAGATATTACACTCTTACCGTGCACAATCTTACTGGTGCCACATTACATTACACAGCAGGACCAGTTCCTTGTCCTTACTCACAATACATAATTACATGGCAACTCCTTGCAGATTACTTTACTTCTCCCACCTTACTAGGTATTTCTCATTACATCCAGTTATAAGACCAACTGGCATATGATGCTTCACAGACTGTTGGTAGTGTATAGGAGATGCACTCACAACACGCTAATACTGATACAAACACCGACATGGGTCCACTACCCAACATGGGGTAATTATTAACAAACACATACAACCACACTGTGAACCATAACTCCAAGGCCTGTCCCAGGGTATAGCACTGGCGCCTCTAACACTGCTGTTGTGGTCGGTTATACTCCGACACGAGGCGGGTCTGGGGTCCTCGGCCCACGAGGTAGAGTGGAGCCGATTAATCCTGCCGAATCAGCGCCATCACTCATATATTGACCACTGCTGGGTATCCACTGGCTCCGAGCGACAGGTGGGTTTCAATTAAGCCCACCCTCGATCTGAGAACGAAGGTGAAAGGTGATACGGGAGGTTTACTCCTTCCGCCTCGCACTGGTTTATATACCCCTGAGTTGCCAGCGATCGCTACTCACGCAATGACAGAAATTACAAACAATCTAACTGTTACTCATTCAAGGATGACCCTCAGTTGACAAAGGTCTGGCAAATTACTAAAGTTGATTTACACAGACTAATTCAAGATTGCGTTTGCCAGTAGAGAGTGGAATAAACTAGTGACAACTGTGTTCGAAGGCGGGACTTACTGGGAGTGATCCTGAGTGTAAAACGGATGGGAAAAACAAGTCTCTCCTGAGATTCTACAAGCGCGGTGGATTTGAATGTTATGTAGCGTAATATGAATTAAAGTGGGTTTTTAGGAATGACAATGATGTGCGCAGTACACTTAGAGGGCACTACTCAATCGAGTGGACACACCTGGGGTGGGCGAGAAGAAAACACAAGCGTGATAGACCCAAATTCACCAACTGCTCCCACTGCTATCATCAAAGACACTCAGACGAAAATTGCTGCAAGAAGCAACTGTGTGCATCCTGCAACCACAGAAGCCATACACAGGATATCTGCTGGTGGAAAACTGCAGAAAATGGGAAAAAAAATCCTGGAGCAAGAGTCGAGTAAACTCATATCTCAGGCCATCCCAGCCACAACATTTCCCCTGACACAAGCAAGACAGGAGGAGTCCTTCCCTATCACAGAGCATAACCCAGGCCATGACTTAGCCAACAGTATATCCCTAATGGTAGCCTGCTAACCTGTTTTTGACAGGACACTATGCTCTGTGGAGTGACTCAAATCTTTACCGAACTTCCCCTCAAGCGACAGATCACGACCCTGTCAGTCAACCAAAGTCTAACCCTGGAGAACTAACTCAATTTTATCCTAAAAGAAAAATTTAACAGTTACTTATGAAATATTCTTGAATGAAAATGTGGAACCTATATTTGGGTAAGTTCCAGAGTATACCCACTGGATAAGAAGAGATCCTAAGATAATGGCAGGCAGTGGTATTGCTCTCTGCCACAAGATAGGACTCAAAATACAAACTCTGAACAGCAACACACCCGAGTGGTTGGAGGCAACGTTCTTCCTAGTGGTTCTGGATAACAATGCAGCGATTCTGTGAGCTCACGACCGACCACAGTGGCAAGGATGTGCCGCTCTAGACTACTTTAGAGAACACCTTGACAATTTCCTCACCACACACAACTGCCAGCACATGTTGATGGTTGAAGACTTAAAACTATCACCTAGTCTCGAGTGCCTATGAATACTTAATTGATGATCAGGGGCTGGTAGGTCATGGGTTTTATTGGCCAATTCATCATTAACTGGTAAACCTTACCATTTCAGCCTTAATCTTGAAGATGTCAATTTTGATCAAAATCTCAATGTAGGTATTCCTGGGCATATGCTGATTAAGGACCTGCGGTCAAAGATTTGATATCTTCGTAGTTACTTGTCTCAAATGACCCCTGAAAACTTAGTATATTTTCACTGCTAATTACCCACGAATATTCTTGATTTTTTTTATGACACTTGGTATTTTTGTGTTAATCAGTATGTAATAAAGTTGTTAAAAAGAATGATTTCTATTCCAGAGATAACTGTTTTTTTCATCAGATAGGTGCTTGGTCTGCTCCTTGTGTCCTTCATACAAGAGGCAACTGTAGTGCCTAGAGATAACCTGCCACTTTGGTTTGGTCACACTGGATAACATCCCTCTTACGTCTGACCAGGGTCTGGATCAAACCCGAGCTACAGTAGTGAGAGGCACATGCATTGTCACTGCATCACCAATATCAAGAACTTTTAGAAAAAGTGTCTCTGCCAGAAGACCTTCAGTTTGTTACTCGCAACCTGTGAATTTTTTATGGGGATTTTTTATGTTTTTGTGTTATTCTGGTGCACTAAAGTGCAGAAGCTAACTTTGAATTCTGTGAGAAAAGGGGATTTTTGTTAAAACTTATTGACTATACCAAGAGTTATCTGACTCGGGCACAAGAATAGAAAATGAGGATTAAGGACCACTTTTCTACACTAACTTAAAAGTGACTTGGATAATAACAACCATCTTGGTCTATTTGTGTACACTTTTATTATATCTGAACAACTAAAACCTCGGAATATCTTTCTTTGGTTTCAATATGTAACACACAAGCACAATACCACTATAAATTTGTGCTAACACAAAAATTAAATTTACATCAAAGGTTAAAAGTGCTTGACGCTTTATATTGACAGCCTCTTCAAACCATTCACTGGTGGTACTGAAGGTATGACATCACTAGGGATCGGTTTGAGGACAGCCACTCATTCCCAAAAAGAAGTTAGGGAAACAAGATATGATTTTCAACCACTAATAATTAGAACTTTCCCAATTTGCAGAAAAAAGTTAAAAGAAAATTGTACGTTTTGAGAATCAGCGATGACTGTTTTTAACGTTTGCTTTAGTTAGTTAACAAAAGGTATTGCTGTAGACTATATACATGTATTCATTTTATTGTTCCCCATAACCCTTAAGGGAAACAGCAGATAATGCACACAATCATGCCTTGTTTAGAAAAATTATTTAAAAATTTCTGATATACATTTGTGATCTTTGCATGGCAGCAAGTAGTATGTATATACTGTACACTGCATACATATTAAAAATATATATATTGGTGGTTTACCTTCATTCCATAAATTCACCTTATTTCTTTGTCTATACTGTATTCATGTTTGAACCAGGAGTCTTCTTCTCTACAGAGAACATTCCAGTAATATATACTGTAATTAATACTTACCCAAGTGTGAAATAGATTGTGAAAAAGTCACAATTTTAGATTATTGAAGTGTGACAAACTTCATATTTTTGGGAGTGTACTGAAAGCTATAGTGCACATTCTACCATATCACACCTGTAGCTGGCAAATGCCTGCCCCACTAAACGTCACAGCTCCAAGTTGAAGAAGCCACAAGTCCACAAAACTATAAGGTCAAACTTTTTTGGAGTGAGAATTGTAAACTCTTGGAATAATATGCCAGTGTGTGTTGTGATGGCACTGAGTATAAGCTCCTTCAAGATCAAACTTGACCAACACTGGAGCAGGTACAGCTACATTGAGGGCCAGTGCATGCTCATTACTCATTACTCATTACTCATTACTCGCCAACAGTGCATAACAGAGACGTGACCGATCACCCAAGCGGCTAATGAGCTGATCAGTGGCATAGAGGATAAAGGTAAAAAGTACTTTGTAATTGTGATCACACAGGGTTTCTAAATTGTTTTTCCTATATTGAACTATTTCCTATATTGAACTATATTGAACCACTTTCTAGTAGTGGTTCATTTAATAATTTACATCATTTAATTAACTACAGTGCCAGCTCAAGGTTTTTTCATGTAATTTTCCTATTCAAGGATAAACAAAAGTGGATAAAAATAAACTTAATTTATGTGCAAATACAGTACTGTACTGTACTGTACTTGTTGGCTTCTCCGAGGTTCATAGCAAAACCGTGTGAGGAGTCTCTGTTTGATCTATGGTTTTAACTCAGGATTATGGGGAAACAATATCACCAACAATGTTCAGGAAGTGTATTTATAACCTGTACTAAACCATAAAAGGTTTTAGAGTCCTTTCTGGTAACTTTGTCTGCTAATATGGAAAGTTCAGCAAATGTGTAATTGATTAATATAACCTTAATTTTTCTACTTTTCCATCATTCTGGGAAAGGATAACTGTGGGTAACCTTCACACTACAGTATTGTGCTGAGGATTATTTACAAAAAGGAAAACTAGATATATTACTGGGGGATGATAGTGTAAACAGGTCATAAGACAGTACTGTACTAAGGATATAGATCAAGTGTATTGAGTGATTTTTTTCATACAAGAGTCCTTTAGGTTGGGGATATTTAAAAAAAAATAACTTATGTCTCATTGTGACACATATGTTCAATATTCTGGTCACAAGGAAGGTCATAGAATACTCATGTGCATCCTCATCTGATATTTTATCTAAGAGAGTACTGTACCAAGGGCAGATACTTTTCATCAGAAAATTCCAATACCTGTACTTTTTCTTTAATACAGTATTGTACTCATGCATTTTTGTATAGTAAACAGTAATAACTATTGACCTAAGATAATATCCTAATACCAAGTACACAAGGCTTCAAAGTAGCCTCAAAATGCCCATGATATTGGTCGGATTTGAAAAAATTATCTTGGGGGCGACTTACAGCGCCCCCCCCCCCCGGTTGGGCTTGCTTTGCTCGCTATGTTCCCCCACCCAAAACTTCTTGGACCCCCCCTTTTGATATTCCTGGATCTGCCCCTGTACTATACTCATATTAAGTTCCAGCTTCACTAAATTCAAAATGGGGGACATACTTGTCTAAAGATAAACAGATGCTCAGATACACAGACTAATCTATACAGATCCGGAAACTTTGGACGCAATCTTGTGACTCATTTTCTTCACAGTGAGAAATGAGGTATCATCATGACACACAATCTCTCAAGACACACACAAGTAAAATATATAAATAACAGCTACAGCTTAAACCATAGAACGTGAGTAGAATAATGGCATCTTGAATCAAACAGAGAGAGAATGAATGATGGTAAACATTGGGAGTGTTATGATCTTAATTCCTGCCAAACTGCATCATGTGGGGGACGGAAGGAACGAGTTCATGGCTGTATAACAGAAGGGTAATGGGTGGATGAGGGTAAGGGTTATGGGTGGATGATGGTAAGGGTTATGGGTGGATGATGTAAGGGTTATGGGTGGATGATGGTAAGGGTTATGGGTGGATGATGTAAGGGTTATGGGTGGATGATGGTAAGGGTTATGGGTGGATGATGTAAGGGTTATGGATGGATGATGTAAGGGTTATGTGTGGATTAGGGTAAGGGTTATGTGTGGATTAGGGTAAGGGTTATGGGTGGATTAGGGTAAGGGTTATGTGTGGATTAGGGTAAGGGTTATGGGTGGATGAGGATATTTAGGATTATTTAGAAACAATGGATTAGTGGTAAATGTTTGTGTACTGTACATGGTTTGGTGAGGAAGCCAAGAAGGGAATTAAAACACTATATTGTTATCTAAGAGAGGGGCCAGATGGGATCTTTACATAGGTGGGTGGGATATCCTCTCAAGTGGGTGTTATGGCCCAGGAGTGGTAACAGAGTATCTCAGCAGTGAGAGATGAGAGCAGTTAAAACTTCTTAGAGTATAGGGTCTACCTGAGAGGTTGGCTCATGCCAGTTGTAGGTATTACTAAGGTCACACGGGATGGGATAGGAGTATGTAAGTTTTTTAGAATGTGTAGATATGAACTCTCTCATCTTCTAAAACAATCACGACTCCCAATTCACACATTATCTGCTCCACCAACTTGTGGGACATTGGAGTCCCTCTTCTTTTTCTTCTTTTGGGTATGCTGAGTAGAGACTGAACCATCTCGAGGGTCGAGGACAAGCTGGTGTCGAGGCCTAGAACGAGATCGAGAGCGGCGAGGTCTTGAAGATGAGGACTTGGGGCTACGCATGTTGGTGCCGAGGAGGATGACGATGATGGCTGCATAGAACACTACAATCACCTGCAATGGAGGATAGAATTAAGTATGTTTTTCAGTTACGGTACAGCATTCACATCTTGTCCTTAAAACACATGATGTAGACAAATCGTTTTTAAACTTAATCAGTATAAGGGTCTTTTACAGAGAAGCAGATCTTATGTCTGTCTGCCTGTCTGTCTGTCTTTCTGCATTTCCACCAAAACCTATCTACAGCACAGCAAAGGACAGCATAGCACAGTACAGTACAGCACAGTTTATAACCATCGATATCAGCCAATAACTACATCTATTTATATCTCCAGATCTGGCTATTAATATTTTACTTATACTTCAGCAGCTCCAACATCCCCTCCCTCTACACTGTGTTAAATATATAGAGGATCTTTCCTAATTACATTTTGATAACTTCTTTCATCCTGACAATTTTCTTCCCGTCCTTCAAGCTCCACTTCTGCTAAAATGGTGAAGGATACTGCTCCAATAATCCACAATTAATACTCAAGAACTTTCTGAGTATCAAGTAACTGAGTTTTATGATATCATCAAGAGATTTGTTGGATAACTGGTGTACCGGTACAAGATAAAGGATAGGACAATGAAGTCTGGTTCACACAAGTCTGTTTTGACGGCAGTCTCTGACGTGGTGTAGCCATCGATGACATCACGAAAACAGGGGTCTGTCTGTCTTCTTCCTCATAGTTACTCACCGGGCCCCAGGTAAGGGAAGAGAATGGTCATGGCAATTACTAATTGAGAGGCCACTTGTGTTGAATTTAGACACTTAATGGAGAGGGAGAAACAGGTTGAGTCTGCTTCAGTTTACTGTACTTAATTGATTAGTTACTGTATGAATTATGTATTATTTATTAAAGTTATATAACTTATATTGGGTTAAACTTGTTTCCACAGAAATTGAATATCACCTTTGGAAAAGGGAATAAAACAAACTCCAGAGAACATGTCTTCTATGCAGTTCTACCATACCATCAAAATCTGTGTACTGTATTATCATCGTTTTGATTTTTTTTATTCACTTTGAAAATTTACTATGCATATATTTTAATAGCACTGTAATTATATTAGTTAAGCTGGATTTCAATGTATTTGAAAAAGTTTCATGAGAATCTTTGACTAATTTGAACAACATGCTGTACAAACGGGCACCACCACTTTCTGCCTGGACGGGCGAAATGAAAATAGCTTTTCTCGCCCGTGTTGATGGGCACATAAGAAACGGGTATCAGACGTTCTCAGATTCACACTCAATGTCCAGCACATGGACCGGTATGATTTCATCGATGGCATCAGAAACGGCCATAAAAATGAGTTAGTGTGAACTGGGCATAAGGGGTTTATACAATACCAAATACTAGCCGAGCCTAAATGTGAAGAGAGAATGGGAGGAACTATTTAAGATGTTCATAAACCTGTGAGAAACTTTGTGACCTCAGACCCATGATACACAATCCAGCAGTATCACATTTACTTTTATCCTCTTCACCACTGATCGGCTCGTTAGCCGCTTGGGCGATCGGTCTCCTCTGATTACTTTTCCTTTACTTTTATCCTCTTCACCAAAAGATCGACTCGCTAGCCGCCCGGACGATCGGTCACGTTTCTTGTCACGCACTGTTGGCAAGTACTGGGCATGCACTGGCTCCTGAAAGTATCTGAACCCGCTCCAGTGTGTTTCCTGGACCTGCATCCTTGCCACGTAAAGCCTTTCAGCAGTCTTTTCCTCAAATTGAAGTTAATGCCCCTTTTCATTAGGTCATTTAGATTATTAAATGCTATTTTCTATTTTCCACTAAGTTCCCTGTTGTCTACCATAATTTTTATTTTAGAATTTATTTCCAATTTGGAAACAACTAGCTTTAACTCCTAATATACAGTACAGTATATCACAACTCACGGCCACAAAGATGGCGGCTTCAGCTGACACCTCTGATGCTGAAGGCAGGCTATTGGCTGCGTTCTGTTGCTGATTGTGGCCTGCACCACTCCTCAGACTCCCAGCCAGCACGCAACCCAGCCTGTAACAAAGAAACAAGATTAATATTCCTTCACCGTAAAATGAGGAGTACATCTTCCATAACCCGGAATAATAGCATCACAAACCTTTCCAAAATAAGACAATTTATCATCAACTGTATAAAATACTGCTAACAGTCACCGTTCTATTTACTCCCTGCAAACAGTACTAGTTGTACTATTTCACTGTCTTTTTGCCATGTACAATAGTTCAGCCAATAAGGTAGGGTACATGAGGTTTCCAATTTTTGTTTACCACTTTTCATAATAGAGACAAGTGGTGGAGGTAACCACAAATCACATTCCGGGTCTCACATACTGAAAATGTTCTGGGTGTGCGCAGTTCATTCAAAAACTCACCGAACCTAACTTATCGTAATCTAACCTGTTCTAACTTACCTTAACCTAAAATGTATGTATAGTATAGTATCTTAGTATGAAGTTTAAACAAAATCCATGGTATGATCTCAAATGCGGAAAAGCAAGGTACCTGTATTAGGTCTAAAACTGCCGTCAACAAAACACAAACTACACTCAAGCAAACAACACCAGTCATATTACGACCTTTCTAAGAGTCAAGAGTTTTTTCCGGCGAGGCACTTCAGGAGGCTGGGCCCAAGGGAAGCAGCCCAGCAGAGCCTCCTCGTCTTTCCGCTAAAAATGGACAGCAGCTCGAAATTCCTACTCTAATTACAGTGTGGATAATATTACTGAAGTATGGAAGATGATGAAGTCGAGCCTGAGAAACATCGCTATAAGGAGGAGAAATATCACTATCCAGGTATATGAGAATTTTTGCTTTAACATGAGCAATATCGCTGTAGAAAGTGAGACATATTGCCATAGAAGATGAGAGATATCACCATAGAGGACAAGAAATATTGCTACAGTGAGAATTATTGCCCTAGAGAATGAAAATATCGTTATAGATAGTTAGAAATATCGCTAGAAGATGAGAAATATTGGGATTAAAAATGAGAAATATCACCAAAAGAGTTGAGAAATAAGTACAGTAAATAAGAAAGTAATTAATCATACTGATTTGGTTATCCATGAGAAAGATTCTCAAACTCATTGATATTGATTCAATAATGATTTGCAATTTTAATGATGCAGATTCAGTCCTCCATGAAAAGTCTGATTCAATGACAATGATTCAGTAACCCAAGAAGACGATTTGCAGATTCAGCAATACTGATTCGTCTATCCATGGTGAAGAAAAGATCGAAATTTCTGCCACTTAATATCTGGATGTAAGTGAATCAGTGAGACGGGTGAAGGCAAGAGATTTCAGGAAACTTCAGTGGGAGTGAATCAGCAACTTAAAACAGATTCACGTATTTCAGCATCATATCATTGCAGCATGATGGAGGAGGAGGAGGAAGATGAGGGAGAAGAGGGGAAGGGAAAGAGGAGGAAGAGGGGAAGGGAAAGAGGAAAAGGAGAATTTAATGCAAGGCAAATTAGGGGAAGAAAAGAAAGTGACGAGGAGAGGAGGAAGAGCAGGAGAAAGGGGAGAGGAGGAGAATAAGATGCACGAGGAGGAGAAGAAAAAGACACAAAGTGAAGAAGGTGGAGGAGGATAATTAGAAACAGGTGTAAGAAGCACAGAATGAGTAGGTTAAGGAAAATAAGATTAGGAGGATGAAGAAGGAAAGAAAAAGATAGAAAAGGAATTAGATGAAAAGGAGGAAGAGATTGAGAAACTGAAGGAGGAGGAGGAGCAGAAAGATGAGGAGGAAGAGAAGTAGTAGTAAGAGGATGAGCAAGAAGATGTAAGAGGAGGGGCAGGGAGAGGAGGAGGGGAAGGAGGAGGATAAGATGTAAGAGGGGGATGAGGAAGAGGAGGATGAGGAAGAGGAGGATGAGGAAGAGGTAGATGAGGAAGAGGTAGATGAGGAAGAGGTAGCAACTGTGTACAAGGGAGCCTGGTGGAGACAGACAGACAGACAGACAGACAGACAGACAGACACAAGTTTCACTGCCTTTGTTAGGTTGAGTCAAAGGCTGGCAGGCCAATATTGGCTCCCTAAACTAAGCTGCCAACATGCTGGTGGTGGCGAGAGTGTTACTTTCCTTCCTCAATTCTAAAACCCACTACCGAACCCCCAACCAGAACCCCGAACCCTCGTATCCAAACCCGAACCCCCGTATCCAAACCCCGAACCTCCATATCCGATCCCTGAACTTCCATATCCGATCCCTGAACCCAAATCGTATTTCAAAATGGCGCTTTGGGATGGTTACACAAGTTAAGACTATTATCATTCCCCCACATACACACACACACAGACAGACGCACATGTACACAGAAACACACACCTATACACAAACAGGCAGAGGCTCCACTGTCCATAGACTCCATACTCTCTATGTGTAGGTGGGTGTAGCATAGTGGTAGAGTACTCACTTAGCATGTGACAGGCCCCGAGTTCGGTCACCGGCACAGCACCTCCAACCAACTTAAAGGCTATTTTTGGTCAAGTTGTCTCACTGTTTACCATTATTGTTTACCTGCACCATTATTGTTTACCTGCACCATTATTGTTTACCTGCACGGTTTCGGCCCTCTTTCACTGTATACCTATATTATCTATATTCATGTTGAACTGTATACCTGCGTAGTTTATATACATACTTAACTAATTGTAAACCTGTATGATAATTTTACTAAACAAATATTATTACTGTAGAGGTTCCAGGTGGGTGTGTGTGTTTAGATTTTTGGTGTGAACGTAATTATGAGACAACTTGTATACATGTGGGCGTTTTCTGAGAATTGTCTCGACCTTTTCTCTCCTTCGCTTCTCTCTCCCTGTTAGTCCCTCCTCCTCCTCCTCCTCCTTGTGATCTATTCATCCCACACACAGCACAGAGCAATAAAGATGATAGATGGAACAGTTCATATTATTTATGCATATCTATCTATCTATCTATCTATCTATCTATCTATCTACAATATCAGCCTATCTATCTACAATATCTAACTATCTGTCCGTCTGTAGGTCATTAGCACGACCAATTGCCCCCCCCCCCCAAAATAGGTTTTTTTTATGATTGGCTTGTTAATTACCATAGTAATGAGGACTTATAATAATGTCTTAAAGAAATGTCATGCATTTTCCCCTGAATTATTTGTGTCATTAAGGACTGAGCTCGCAGATAACTGAATCTCGGACAGGTAATGAAGCCAGGATAATGATTCAACATTAATTTCAGGGTCATTAGTATAGGTTTAGTTACTCGAGTTTTCTGTTTTTTTAGGAAAGATGCTTCATTAGAAAGTTGAAACGTTTCTCATTTAAGATTCAGCAATAAATTAATATCTGAGACGTATATTTGAATTAACGAAAAAAGTTGATTTCTTTTCTATCTTCAAAATTGACGATGTTGATATTGGAATGTAATTTGTTAAATGATTCAACAATATTTCATCCCCTCAAAACAAGAGTCATCTCAAACTTGCAGAGGATTGAGTAATTACCTTATGAAAAATGGATGTAATTATATCATTGTTAATTACCGCTAAAGACTCAAATTCTAGATTTTTAAAACCAGTTCCTTAATCAGTATATTGCAACCCACTTGTACTGAGATACTGAATAAAAGCAATTGTTTTAAATTATCTCTAAAACACCTGAATAGGGAGAGTTTCATTAAGTAACACCTGGACATTTATATGCAGATCCACCTGACATGTTCAATGGACATTAGATGCTAAATATACTGTCTTGGTGTTCGTCTGTGCCAGCCGAGATCTGTTCTGACAGTAATTGGCAGAAAAAAACTGTATCACTGGCTAACAATTAATTACTGACACATACATAATCGTGTCTTTAATTAATTCCTTCAATTTGAATGCTGAAGAATTTTTATGTGCAATAAACTTTTACTATACAGGGAGGTAAACACAAAAGAATTATTGTGTATTCATGTACTAATTACCGTGCCAATAATTTGTCAATATACATAATTACACACGACAGAAAATGCATTGAATTCCGTTTACTGTAATGACAATCGAAAAACAACTTTACCTCATTCACCTGCTCTTAATTTGGACGGTAAACACCTGTCGCGGCAGCAGACAGCACCTGTATATCGTCACCGCCTCTCATATCCGTCGGTCCTCATTACGGCGACAGAAACCTGAGTAAACTACCTTAAATGTAAGTCCCAACGGCGGTAAATGACGTAAGTCACACTTAAGGCCTGGAGGATTTACCTGAAGTGAAGACAGAGACGGTCAAGGGCCGGAGGATTTACCTGAAGTGAAGACAGAGACGGTCAAGGGCCGGAGGATTTACCTGGAGTGAAGACAGAGACGGTCAAGGGCCGGAGGATTTACTAAGGTGTGAAGACAGAGACAGGTCAAGGCCGGAGGATTTTGGAGTGAAGACAGAGGACAGTCCAAGGGCCGGCAGATTGCAATTGAAGACAGGGGCTGGATTTCAGAGACCAGCGGATTTACCTGGGTGAAGACAGAGACGGTCAGGAGCCGGCAGTTACCTGAAGTGAAGACAGAGGTCAGGGCGGAGGATTTACCTGGAGTAAGACAGGGGCGGTCAAGGGCCGGCGGATTTACCTGGAGTGAAGACAGAGACGTTCAAGGGCCGGAGGATTTACCTGGAGTGAAGACAGAGACGGTCAAGGGCCGGAGGATTTGCCTGGAGTGAAGACAGAGACGGTCAAGGGCCGGAGGATTTACCTGGAGTAAGACAGAGACGGTCAAGGGTCGGAGGATTTACCTGGAGTGAAGACAGAGACGGTCAAGGGCCGGAGCGTGAGCGAAGCCTTGGCCATGGCTGAAGGTCTGGCCGTGGGAGGTGTCGGACCACATCCTGATGTACAGCGTGTCTGTAACAAGAAGTTAGTGTGAGCGAGGTGAAGCTGTCGGGAGTTGGTGGTCTTGTTGATTGTCACTATATTCCTGTGAACTGTGTGAAACTTTACTTGCCAGCACTAATGGTACTGATTCTAACACTTTCAGATATATATCACACTAACACTCTCATTCATCAGTGGCCAGGATAGCTTATACCAAACATTGAAAATTTATATACCTGTACATATATTAATGAAACCCTCAAATACCTTACGTAAGTAAGTCCTGCATTACTAATACAATTCAAATAGTGAATTTCAGTATCGCGAATGCATTAATGCAGAGAATTTTCTAGTACTCTGTTTGGAACCGGCTGTGATGCGGCCACTGTCTGGAGCCACGGTGTCCTCCCCCACAAAGTCACAACACGGGAGCAAACCACAAAGACGCCACCTTCAGACCACGAGCCACACACCCTGGTTGTATATACTACTCACTCAAACCTCGGCCACGACTATTCAGCAGCACAGACAGGGCTCAGGACTCAGGCACCACACCGGTCAGCACAAGCACCAGAACGAATCTGCTCTCCCCTCTCTTCCCTGCAGTGTAAACTTAACATTAGTTCAGACACACATTCGAGTCCCCATGATGCACCGAACCCTCTGAACCTGGCTATGAAAGGCGTTATCCGTTTGTTTTATAATGGAAAATTATTAATTGCAAGATATAATTTAACTTAAATTATATAGTAAAATCATGAGGTACAAAAATTATTTATACAAGCAAAAATAGGCAGGATTCCTTCACAATTACCATCTACATAACAGCTACCGTCTAAACAACTACCGTCTACACCAGATAGTCATTACTTAAATCTTTCATAACATGTTGCCAGTAATCTAAATACAGTTTACTTATTAATGAGAGCTCCCATCAGTGCAGGCGGGGTAATTATGGTGGCTGTGAATATTTCATCAGCCACCCCGCGCTCCACTTCTGGGGGAGGCGGGGGTTGGCTCTCACTCTGATTGACCGGAGTTAAAAGGACAAGTTGTAATTAAGTAAACAGAAATATTAAATATGTTTGCATGTTGGTTTGTGAGGGTAGGGGGGTGAGGGTGGAAGGTGAGGCTGAGGGTGGAGGACGGAAGGCTAGGGTGAGGGGTAGGGTGCGAGGTAGGCAGCCAGACTCGTGAATTAGAGCTGATGGTCCGTTGGGCATGAATGGACTACAGTGTGGCCGAGTGATAAGGAAGTGTAATTACTGCCCCCACCCCTGTACTGTAATACACTAACGAATTCCCACTGGAAAAAACCCTCAGAAAAACAACAAAGTTAAACAAAATCTAGTCAATTCATTTACGTTTTAGTTTTAGTTCCATGTTATGTTATGCTTAGTCTGGGTGACGTCATATTATGTTTAGTCTGGTTGACGTCATGTTATGTTTAGTCTGGGTGACGTCATGTTATGTGGTGTTCCATCTCACAATCTTGGGTTTGGATATTCTCATATTTAATCATCTTAATATTATCCTCCTGGCGGGTTATAAAGAACATATTTTGTTACGGTAAACTCTCGGTGCAATTTCGAAGCCATCTTGGTCACCAACTTAGCAGGGTGGAAGTTAAGCGAGACTGCTGGGTTCTCTCTCTCTCACATCTCCCGTTACCAGGAAATTTAGCTGACAATGTCTTGGTGATGCAACACTGAAAGTTATGCTCAACACAAACTTAGACGGCAATAAACACAAGAAACATTCATGAATTTATTGCGAGAATTTATTGTGTGTGTGTGTGTGTGTGTGTGTGTGTGTGTGTGTGTGTGTTAAGCCCGGCCCGGCGGCACCTGGAATGTTGATGGCGGGGGATTCAGGTTCATCACAACACTCGGGGCTAAATAGAATGGAAAGACTGAGAGCCCCGAGTCAACAGTTCCCGGAGGCTGACTGTATTCTCACAAGTCTCAGCTCATGGTCCCAGCTATTGATCTCAGCTCATGGCCTCAGCTCATGGTTTCAGCTCATGGTCTCCGCTAATGATCTCAGTTCAGGGTCCCTGCTCATGGCCTCAGCTCATGGCCTCAGCTCTTAAATATGGTAAATATCCTAAACGTTTTAGGTCTTTGAAACTATTAACTTCTAAACATGGCTTTGATAGGTAGGGGAGGTATTGCACGGGACTTGGTGCCCCTTGATCTGAGACGACGAAAGAGGAGGAAGAGGAGGAAGAGGAGGAAGAGGAGGAGGAGGGAGACATTCTCAAATAGTGAAGGCCAGGCAGACGGATGCTGTGATCTGGGTCTGACAGCTTTCAATGACCCACCTCCTCGTGCCTCCATGACCACTAATCCATATCACTATCCTGTGTTGACCTCCCTCGTCCCCTCATACCACAGGACGCAGTATCAATGTTTTTATCATCCTGACCTCACATGACCCAAGGTGTTTCATGCTTGACCTCACATGACCTGCTCCATCTTGTGCCTCACTGACAGAATATGAACATTGATTGGTGTTTCATGTTAGCTTCACAACTTATTTATTTATGGTGTCAGTGAAACTTCTAATGTGATAATATAGAGCAGGTTGGTTGTAAATGCGCAATTTGTAATGCTTAAGAGAATCCACGAAGCAATCTCAAAACGCCACAGACCTAATCACAAAACGCCACACTCCTAATCTCAAAACGCCACAGACCTAATCTCAAAACGTCACATGACTAATCTAGCGAAACCCCACAAAAAAATTTTCTTATAAAATTTGGTGAGATTTGACCTTCAGTTTGCTGTGGGTGAGGGAGCCGTGACCCAAGTTTGTTTATCAACGAAATGAGGTGAATAATTTAGGAAGTCTTTGTTGACATGTTAATAAGTGATAACCATCTTGGCGTTCATTTTTTATCAGCGATCTTGAGCGTAAAACAAACAAACACACAAAAACAAACACACACAAACACAAACACAAACACAAACACATGACTCTAATAAATGTATTCTCTTAAGGTAAACCGTCTCTCATTATAAGATCATTAACACTATACCTGGATCACCCTACCTGTCGACTCCATCATCATCAACACGAAGATGCTGAATCTCTTTCTCTCTCTCTCTCTTCCATCACCTGTCAGATAACCCTTCTGTTTCTCTCCCTCTTTGCCTGTGTCTCAGTCTTTCTGTCTTTTTCTGTTTCTGCCTTTGTCCTTTTCTGCCTCTATGTCTTTCTTCCCCATTGTCTGTCTCTTCGTCTGTCTCTTCGTCTGTCTCTCCCTTTGTCTGATTGTTTCTCTCTTCTCATATGTCTCCTTGTCTTTCTCTCTTCTTATGTCTGTCTCTGTCTTTGTATGTCTGTATTCCTTTCTTTCTCTTTCCCTTTGTCCGTCTCTACCTTTCCCTACCTTTCCATTTTTATTCTCTCTCCCTCTAATTCTCTTTCGCTCGGCTTTGTCCCATATGTTCACATTTGACCAGAGAGTCAAGTGAGGGAGCCAGCCAGCCAGCCAGCCAGCCAGCCAGCCAGCCAGCCAGCCAGCCAGCCAGCCAGCCAGCCAGCCAGTCAGCCAGCCAGCAGCAGGTATACAAACCCAAGTAGGTGATGGCAATATACCCAGCCTGCCATCTTGTTAGTGTGGGCCGCGGGCTACACAAGATGTCTGCTGTCTGCCTGTCTGCTGTCTGTCTGTCTGTTTTGTTAAGATCTGGGTAAGGTTTATTATCTGTATTGGGAATTTGTACGGGTGTGCGTAGTGATGTACGTACACATACACGTACACACACACGTACACACACACACACACACACGTACACACACGTACACACTTGTAATCTACTGACATATGTTAAAAACTATGACAAAAACCCTCTCCTCGCCCACTCCACCGTGACCACCTGGGTGAGGGGGGAGAGGCCCTCTCACTCACTAATAACATCCAACGTTCTCCCTCTCTCCCTGGGTGGTGTGTGGGCTGGGGAGAGGAGAGAGGAGGGAGGAGAGGAAGAAGGAGGTAGGAGGAGAAGAGGGAGGTGAGGGAAGGGAGGGATGGGGTAGGAGGTGGGGAAGGAGGTGGGGGGAGGAGAAGAGGGAGGTGAGGAAGGGGAGGATGGGGTAATGGGGAAGGAGGTAGGGGTGGAGTAGGTGAGCAGGAGGGGCAGGAGGAAGGGAGGATGGGGTAATGTGGGGAAGGAGGTGGAAGAGGAGGTGAGGAAGGAGGGATGGGGGTAATGGGGAAGGAGGTAAGGAGAAGAGGAGGTGAGGAAGGAGGAGGTAATAGTAGAAGAAGGGAGGGGTGAGAAGGAGGGATGGGGTAATGGGAAGGAGGTAGGAAGAAGAGGAGGTGAGGAAGGGAGGGGAAGGGGTAATGGGGAAGGAGGTAGGGAGAAGAGGAGGTGAGGAAGGGAGGGGATGGGGTAATGGGGAAGGAGGTAGGGAGAAGAGAAGGTGAGGAAGGGAGGGGATGGGGTAATGGGGAAGGAGGTAGGGAGAAGAGGAGGTGAGGAAGGGAGGGGAAGGAGGTAGGGAGAAGAGGAGGTAAGAAGGGAGGGGAAGGGGTAATGGGGAAGGATCCGCTGGTGTTTTACTGTACTGGACATCTCTCATACTTTCTCTCTGCTTTTTCCCATTCTCTTTATTTGTCTCACTTTCTCTCAATCTCTCTATTTCCCTTTCTCATCCTTTAACCGCAATCTACCTTAACCGTAATTTATCTTAACCGCAATATTCCACACTCATGAACTGCCTCACACACTATCCGAGTCCCCGTAATCTACCATTATTCGCGAAGTACTTAATTGAGATTCGTCTTTTCATTCGCGAAGTAAAATAATAATTTGTTTTTTCTCCTAAATGGTAATTCAAGAACATACCTGTTCTTACTTGAGGGACGAAAATATCTTGAGTATTTTGTTAAGAATCTGGAGGACGACGTTGTAGGATTATTTCATCAACGCGCAGGACCTCCGCCTTAATTACCCAGACGTGGCAACACTGTCTCGTCTAAGTTTGTTGGTTAAAACTTCCAGATTAATTCCCGCTTCTGGCACTAATTACGAGTCTGAGCATGGGGGTGGTCTAATGGTGTGTAATACCTGGCAAAAGTTGTGGGAAAATTAAGAAAGAAGAGGCTGATACACGCTAACGAGCCACGCGAACCTCCGAACCCCTCGAGCTACGAATCTTCGAACCTCTGAACCTTACGAATCTCGAACCTCCGAACCTCATGAACTTTCTCACTCCGAGTTCTACCAAAAGTGTTTTCGCTTACCAAAAAAGGTTAATAAACAATTAATTAATAAAATGATAACTTTTCTACCCGAGATTCTTAATTAGCATGTTGCATGTTGACGAAGAGAACCAAAATTTTAGAAATATCTACCAAAAATAGCTAAAGAGTGATGGTATGAGGACATTTCCTTAAATCTAGTTTATTATGTAGGAACACACACACACACACACACACACAGAGTACCGAATTCGAGAAAGATCTAACGACCGTCGACCAGCATGAAGTGGGTCACCTACTCTCTCACCCCCCCCCCCTCTCTCCCTCCCTTCCTCGTTGGTGTTCATAACTCAAAGGATATTTCTTTTTTAATACCGTGAATGGG